ATTGTTTGCCCTTTCATGAGTTAAAACAATATAATGGAACTTTAACAATTGGATACTAGAGGGAACTAGAGGATAAAAAATGGAAGCAAATATATTCTAGCAGTGAGTTGCTTGATGGAAAACTATGAAAAATGTATGACAGAAGGTCTTTGAAATTGTCAGAAAATGATGGATAGATGGACAGTTTAGGTTAGGATGTAATAAAAGAAGAACAAGATATTCTGGATGAGTTTAAAATTAATCTGAATGTGTATATAAATGTGACAAGTAATGAGAAGGATGCAGAAGATGTACTGGACTTTCAAATGAAGCAGGTTGATGCTTCAATGCTTAAAGGAGATATATAACTATCAAACCAGAAAAGAGTTATCAGTAATTTTCTTTACTGGAAATCTGCTAAAGTTTTCAAGACATTTTTGAAATATTCACACACACAAAAAGATTCATACTGAATCTACAAAATAGATTTGCTAAATTCTATTGGAGGAAGTGGATGCTTAAAGAAAAGATACTAGGAAATAGGGATGGGATAGTCTGGATGTCTGTATCATAGATTTTAATGAAATTGTTAGCTTGACTATTGAGATAGTATTAATTTCATTTTCTCAAGTAAACATCTTAAGAAAATAACATACGTTATTCAAGAAAAAATAAGTGAAAAACAATAAAAATGCCTTATATTAATTGTAAGGATAAATAAGTAAAACCCACCCAAAGCACAATTACATTTATAGTGAATTCTAATTAATTTAGTATTAAAAATATCTATTGTCTAGACTCCTAAAAGACCGGTAAAGTATTTCATAAATAATGAGAAAAAGGTACTTCAGAATCTGGAGAAGCATACTTGTAGAATGTGTTGGTGACCATTTAAAGTAACTGTATTTTTTCTCAAGTTCATATGGCTGTCTGCTCTAAGAATAGCAGCACCATTTTTGAAAAGATACAGCTACTTTAAAAAGTTAAGACCAGAGGTAGTATTCAGCAGGTTCTGACCAGTTCTGGAGAACTGGTAGTGGAAATTTTGAGTAGTTCAGAGAACCGGCAAATACCACCTCTGACTGAAAATTTTACAGTATCCTTCCCCTGCCACGCCCACCAAACCATGCCCATAGAACCAGTAGTAAAAAAAAATTGAATCCCACCACTGGTTAAGAGGCTGGTATTATATTTATGCTTTACATGCTCTAAAGAACTTTTAATTTTTATTTTTTGGATTTGAAGCACTGCACAGCTTTACTATAGAAAGAGGCAATACTGGAACACACAGGAACAAAAATATTCAGCTCAAGATGAACAGATTATAACATCTCAAATTTGTAACCATGTTAATCAAGGTCAAAGTTATGTTTAAAGCTTCAGCTTATCAATTAATAAGCAAAAATAGTATTATGGATGGTTTAAACATATGTGCAGTCATATATGCAGTTGCACAGAATAATACATTGTTTCATACAGTATTGTAATTGTTTTCTTTCTTCATACGTACATAATCACTTCAGGATGGTATTCATTCCTACACACCAACTAAAAATTAGTATGGAATGCAGCCCTGAGATTTGGAACTCATTGGATTTTTTGTTATAACAAACTATATAAATGGTTCCTTTTTATACCATTTCTTTGAGGGAATATTTATATAACATATAGGGTAGGAGTGTCAAACTTGTGTTGTCATGGTGGCATACGTGACTTATCCCCCCCTTCGCTAAACTGTTTCCCCCCTTCTCTAAACTGGGTGTGGCCAGTATGTAACACATCCGGCCCACTGGCCACGAGCTTGACAGCCCTGTTGTAGAGGAAGGTGCAGGCTGCTCAATTGCTTATCCCATTTTAATTTTGTGCTGCATGTGTCAGATTAAAATGAGTATCAAAAATATGCAAGTCAACAGTGGTTGGGGTTTTGTTTGTTTTCAGACCTCTGTGTTATAGAAGGCAAATGATTACTCAATTTTTTAAAAAGTATTTCATTAGGTAAGGTATATAAATAAATATGTGAAGTCCAAACTTTCCACTGTGATTCACCAAACTGTATGTCTTGAATTCATACTTGTCTGCCCTATTCCTGGAATATATATTATTCAGCATTAGTTGGAAAAATGAGGAAACCAATTATACAAAAAAGCTGAATTGGAAAAAATGAGCTAAAATGTCTCACAAAGCAGCAAACTAAGTTATTGCAAAGAATTACTTAGTCTAGTTTTTTTTCAAAATCCCCTTGTTAACAAAAAAGCATGCTTTCTTCTGTCTATCAATTGAGCAAAACAATTCTAACAGTTTATGAAAGTCAACCCTCCTTTGAAGGAACATTATTTTAGGATCTAATACTCATTAATAATCTCACATTGTCAAGCCACCAAGTGATAGAACAGTTGATAATTCCTAAATAAGGTTCTCCTTATTTATCTGTACAAACGTTTTCTTGTGAGACTACAAAATATGTGTGCTAATGACCATAATAAATATTGATTGATTCTGTACTGATGTCAAAACAAAATAAATCAGCAACATGATTATATGAAGATCTACAGAGTTTAAGACAGAAAAGGAAACTCTTATATTAGAATTGTTCAAAACAATATTTATTTAACCGAGTTGTGAGTCTTGAATGAAATTTAATATTCTGAAATTTTGATTTTCTATAAATAAACTATGTAGTAATTTTAACTGAAGTTAATGAACACTTCAAATATCATAGCCAATGGATTTGCATACTATGAAACTGCGCAAATTCCTCCACACCAGATGCCTTTCTTGTTAATCTAGAACTGTTGGCTCACATAGTGTTGGATCTCTAGAGATAGTCCTAGTTTAGAAACTACCTTGTTTAGCAACCTTTCACAGTTTTGACGATAATGAAAAAGTAACTTTATGACCAACCCTCATTTTTATATTTGCAGGGTCTGTAGAAGAAAAGCTGAAATAAGATCATACGCTTAGTCAGTTTTGCTTGGTGATCATTTCAGTTAATGACTGGAGTTGACAGTCCCGATTGTGGTTGCTAAACAAGGATTACCTGCATTTCATTGTATCTAGCTACAGACCAACATCTCTCCTTAATATGGATACTAAAATATTAACAGCAGCATTAGCTAGGAGGCTATAAAACATAATACCATCTGTAATACATCCATTTCAATATGGATTTTAAAAAAATAGATAAGCATCTTATATTATTCATCTGGTGGTCAATATTAAGGATATAGCTGCGGATGAACCTAATCTTAACCTCTAATCTTGTTAAACTAAAAAGATGATTGATATAGTCCTGAATGAATTTATGAAATATGTTTTAGGTATGTTAAGAATATATGGATTCCAGGTTTTTTTAATTTTGATATTTTCATCCTGAAGTTAATTATTACCTGTGCCCAACCTGTGCTTATGACTAGCCGCAGGATTGCTACAACCCCTAGACCTGCCTATCCCGCCCCCTCCATCAATGCCTTGAAACACCAGGGAATTCCTAACTGACAGTATGAAGCGGCCAAGACATCTTCCCATGAAGGGCTGTTGTAACAGTGGGTTACAAAACACCTGACTGTGGGACGTTCTAAACATCCAGGAGACATCAAGGGTATTCTGGAGTGAGAAGCAACCACTTCCCCATGAAGTGCCAAATGCCTGGGAAGTGCCTGCACAGCCGCCCTAACTATCCTGCATTTCACACACCACCTGACCTTCACGCAGCTCCAAGGTGAAAAAGAAAAAGAGAGCTGTCCTCCCTTTCCAAAGGCTCTGCAAAGAACACAGCTCTCCTAAGACTACACAAAGCACCCTCAATTTATTTATTTTATTTATTTGTCAATAGCTTACAAGATAATAAACATATGTATAAATACGAGAAATGGGTACAAATAATTGGGGACAATAGGACAGGGACGGTAGGCAGGATTGTGCGCTTATGCATGCCCCTTAATTGCACAAGAAAATGTTGGGCTGCCTTCTCTTTCTTCTTCACACAGCGCCAGGCTGGGCGCTCGTAAGTTCAATGGTTTTACAGATAAATTTTGGCTTAACTTTTGTGGGTTAAAACCATCAAGCCTACCTTCCTAGAGAAGATTGAAGCAGATTTGTGCCAGGGAGTCCCCCACCTCTAGGCACCGGGCACTCTGCTTAATGGACCAGTGCAGCTGTTTATTGACAGTGCCTGGGAATTCCAGAATGTGGTCATAAAATTGAGCTCGGTCACATGGTGACCTGCCTAATTACCATAATGACTCACAACCAAAATTCCAGGTTCAATTGTGGTTGTAAGTCAAAGACTACCTGTATTTTAGAGCACTGGTAATATTAAAAATATTTCACAATTTATATATTTTTTTTAAAAAAATAGATATTAAAAGTCTTTGCTATTATTTTAATTGCCTTCCAATAAGAATATAGAACTATTTTAAATTAAACTGCTTTGAAAAACATTGATTAAAACAAAGAGATAAAGTTTTATTATACATGTAGTATTATTTAGACAATAGTAATCAGAAGTTCTGGCTCCATAGAATGACAGTCTTAGCTATAAAAACAACAACATACAAATATTGGAACTATTTATGAAAGCATATTGTATTTTGAAAGTATCCCTAGTCTTAATCCTCATCTTTGCCCAGCAGAAATAACTGTAATAACTGTTAATTATTTTTGTCTGTTCTTTATTGGCACATGGAACATCACAGCTGGATGAGAATAAAAAAAGATGAACATCGAGAATGTGGCCTCTTCTGTAATTGATTTTCTATTTTTGCATTGTTTATATGAGCTTTTCAAATATGCCTTCAATATTTAATTTCTTCTGAGATTGATACAAAGGAAAACACAAGGCGATTTAAAAATTTAAAAAGTCTACCTGTTAAAAATGCACACTATGAAATTATGAGAAATGATGCAAGGTTACCAAGGCAATTTAGTCATAACTGTAAGGATAAATTACTTCTTGCTATATTAGACCCCCAAGGCATCGAGTAAATATCATTTCATAAAAAAGGAAAAATCACTGTACTCACTTATTAAAAAGATTCAGTCCAATTCTATAGTGACGTTTCCTGATGATATCATTACTGAAGGCAGGAGAATCCCAACTATTCCGAGTTTCTTTGTGGTATGTTTGCTTGCTCAAAGTTTGTTCCCTTAAGCTGTCTCGAGAAGATGATTCTGAGCTGCAGTTTATTGTGTCATTAGAATTGGAAGTGCTGTTGATGCTATCATTATCTCCATCAGAATAATCCGATTCAGATTTGCTTTGCCTGTTAGCTGTACCATTAATAGCCAAGTGGCTGTCAATAGGCCTAGGTCTATGCCTAGTTTCTGGATCTTCTCGGGATATTACTTTGCTGGGGAGACCATGTGATATGTGTTTTGGACTACCTTGCTGACTACTAATTCCCCGATCATAGGCATTTTGCCTCGTCAGTGATCCTCTTTCAGAACGGTCACTTAAATCGACTGAACTGTCACTGGGTGGTTCTATGGTTAGCAAAGGAAGATGATCCATCCTCATTCTCTGTTCTTGGGATTCCAATGAAGGGGTACTCCTACAACTAGTGTCGGTGTCTATTTTATGGTCTTTATGTGTCATAGACCAGTATTCTTGAGAAGGGTTTATTGATCTAAGTCTCAAGTCAGATTCTGTGCTCGATGGTCTTTCTATAGGATGAGAAAGAGGAAGTGGTGGGGATAATTCTTCCTCATCGATATATAATGTAACGTCACTGTAGGATGCAGTCATTTCATCAAGTTTCCTATGATCAACATTATGGCTTGTTGATTTAGTTGGACCACAGCTATCTCTTTCTATTTCACGACTTCTGATTTGTTCAGGTACCTGTACCTCATCAGAGTGCAAACTACGACAGTTTAATGCATCATCAATGGATTCTGCAAGAGATTTTACTTGTCTCGAAAAAGCATCCTCCAATTCTGTTATGGCATCAGCAAAGTCCGTGGAAGCCGCTGGAGATTTCATTGTAGCTGATTCAGCAAGATCATTACATCCAGACTGGACAAGGGCTCCTATTTTTGATCCATCATTTGTAACAGAAACTTGCTTCCCCTCAAAGTAGGAACTGTGAACTTTCTCAGGTCCTTCAAATGAAAACTGCATTCTCATATTGGATAGTACAATGCGTCTTGACATACGATTTTCAGACATAGAACTTCTAAGCCGCTCAAAGTTTTTGTTCATCTGATACTGGCGGAAAGCAGTCTGTATAGTACGAGCAGCATGTCTAGTTATGAGACGGCCTCCATATTTTCGTTCTAGCATTTCAACCTAAAAAGAGAATGTATTTTATAATATGTAATCTCTAAAGCATGGTTTTCAAACTCAAATCATCATAAGGGCTGCAGGAGGAGGAGTTCATTAGCTTGAGAACTGCAACAGTGAAGCCTTTTTATATATAATACAAAAGTCTCAGGGGTCAAAAAGGAAAGGAATCATTCTATGCCATTAACCACAAATGTATTAAATAAAAAGTTTCACTATAAAATAGAGTTCCTTTTTTTTAACCATCTCACTTTGGCCACCTATATGGCATTGCTTTTTAAGTAACCAGAACACCATTATTTCGTGAATGACAACATAAATTCTCTGAACTGAATCCTATCATCTGAAACCTGAACATAATACCCTTAATAAGAAACAACTATGCCTGAAAATCATTTCCAATTGTGCCAAGAAACAGATATTGGCAGTTGTCTGATGAAAAAAATGTTTTGTTTTCAATTTGGTACATGTTATCCTTTATGGGGGTTATAATTCCTGCAACTGTAGCTTATTTTCTGATTATTTTTAATGGGAAGCAGGCTAAAAATGATCAAACACATTCTGTCACATAAAAAAAGAAAGAAAACCAGTTGCCATTTGGCATACTCCAGTCATAATTACTTGGAAAGTTTGGAAAGCATAAAGTTTTGAGGTTTCCAATCAATTACAATTTCAGCCTATGGTGCATCTCCTTCATAGGGCTGTTGCAGATGTAAAATAGTCACCTTGAAACATAAAGAGATTTTTGGGGTAACTTGCACTTCCTACTGAGCAACAGTAGGCTATATACCAGTGCTAACTGTGTGACTAATGTCTGGACCAATGGTTAGAAAATTTTTGGAAGCTGAAGAGACAAAATGACAGAGTGCTGTGGCAGAGCCCATACCAGAAGCACATACTTGTTCCTGTTGCTTGACTACGGATGATGGCTTCTACTGTAGGAATTCCCTTCCTGGCCAAGTTGCTGAGGGATACTACACTACTTTTGTTTTTCCCTCTGCCCTCCTTTCCCAAAGCCTTTCCCAAAGCCTTACAGCTGCAGCATATAAAGCTCTAAGTAACAGTGATTATTGCTTTTCCTCTGTTTTCCACCTGGGAAGAGCCACAAAGACTTTAAAAGCAGTGGGAAGCAGGTAAGAGGAGATCCTGGCTTTTCTCTTCTTCTTTTCAGCAGTTAACTCCTTCTTAAAACTCCTGGAAGCTACTCTGTAACCATGTTTGCCAAGGAGCTGGGGAAACAGCAGGACAGGTGAGGTAGCTAGACTCCCTCAGGTCTTCCTTATGCTCCATGGCCGTTTGTTATGTTATGAAAAGAAGTTCAGAAAAGAGAAAACAGGAAGGAACAGCAATGATATAGCACCTTTCAGCAAACTGCAGAGAAACTGGCCAGGAGGGCAGGTGCTTCCAGCACAGGGAGGGCAGAATACCATTCCTGTCCAATTATCAGGAATAAAGATGTTCTCTTAGTGCAGGGTTGTCAAATTTATGCACTGGCCACGCCCTGTTTAGTGAAGGGGAAAAGTCGCGATACATCACATGACACTGCTGTGACACTCTGAGTTTGACAGCCCTGTCTTAGTGCTACCTGTGCCAGCTGTAAACTGGGAACTTTCAAGACAAAATTATTACAATACCTCGATGTTGTTTGACATTAAATCATCACTGAAAAAAGTGACTTATGACTGTTTTTTGAACTTACGACTATCACAGCTTCCCTACAGTCACGCTATTAGAATTTGAATGATGGAAACCAGCATGACTTTATGATGGTTACAACATCTGGGGGGGGGGGGTGTCACATGATTGCCATTTTTAACCTCAGATGGCTTCCAATAAGCAAAATGAATGGACAAAGCCAACTGGCTTAACAAATGTGTGATTCATTTAACAATCAAAGTGATTTGCTTAGCAACTGGGGCCAAAAGCATGACACACTTAACAATCACCTTGCTTAGCAATAGAAATTTGGGTCATAATTGTGGTTGCAAATCAAGGACTACCTGTACACAAAAATGCTAAATTCTAGAGGCTCATGAAAAAAGTATCTCAAGAAAGTTGATAATTAGTACATTTCTTTCTTTTTTTAAAATTTGATTAATATAGCAGCACAGCTCAAATACCTGTTTATCCTGCAAGTCAGATGAGAGTTCATAGCTTTCTGAGAGGGACCGTGACCTTTTAATAGCTTCTTCTTCTGCTTGTTTTCTTAATATTGACGTTGAGTGCTGAAGCTTCGGCCTCCGAGGCCTTTGCTGTCCAGGGGAGACAGAATATAGACCATATGGAGAATGGTCATAATGATCTGGACTTAGAGCTGAACTGTGAGTTATAGTTCCTTGATGATAAGCAGATGAACTATCCAGGGATGTGCCAGTTTCACTTCCAGGAGCTTCACCCTCAACACTGGAAAAAAAGAAGAGCAAAATATGGTTTATATGTATAGTATAGCTTTTTACTGCTGCAGCTCCATATATATATAATAAAAGCTGGCTTGTTTGGTTGGTTGATTTCTATAGATGCCCATCTTAGCAAATGACTCTGGGCAGCTCACAATTAAATTATTAATTAATTATGAACTATTAATTATGTCCAAGACATTCACTTTCAGATACACATTTTATGAAGCTACAAATGATCATGTTTACAAATTTCTGGCACTTTTTTCCCCCAAATATTTTGTTTGCTTCTAATGTAATACAATGCAACATAGATAAAATGAAGATTTACAAATTTCAACATTACTATCATTTTCTTGGCAATTCTAAACATTGCCTCATATAATTTTTAATAGGAATTTCTGAATAAAAACATCTATGTGATGTATATCACATTATTATCAATAAAAACAGTAAATTAATCAATCATTTCTGGAATTAGCTTGGTGAAACAATGTGAACCAGTATCCAGTTATACGAGAGAGCAAAGTAGTGCCCATTGCAATCCTAAAAGAAATTCAGCTTTCCCCATAAAACACAATAAAATGTCCATTGATTTTTGCAGATCTGACACCAGAACATCTATTATGCAATAAATTATTTGTAGATCCCAGCATAGTATGAAATTTGGTTTATCTCATGAAAGATCAAGCATGGTTTTAATACTCAGTGTTCAGGTTTCGGTAAATGTTACAGGAGAAGCAAAGTACTCCAACTCATACAATAATGTAATAAATAACGTATTATAGAAACATGAACATTGAGCAGGTTTCAAATTAATTATCTCATTTAATTACCTTCTCCATCCCACTCTTATTTTCAATCTTACTGTTACAACTTTATAAAATAAAAATAAATATTCAAGTTGCTTCTTTCTTGCCAAAATATAAATTGTTCAATGGCTCTAAAATGCTTCAACAGGGTTTAGAAACATGCCAAAGCCACAAGAAAAACAAGTTCCTGCCAAATCTCCGTGGAGATGAATAAACCAAAATAGTAGCCAGCAAGAATACGATAGTTACTGTTAGATGAATGCCAAGATAAATAATAATGATCATGCACCTAACATAGAAAAAAAATTCCTAAAATTTTTGAAGAAGGTTTTATTTATTGGTTTTATGTAAATGTTAAACAGCGTAAGAATGGTAATTAATCTTCAGAATTTATTTAGTTACTTAATTTGTATAGCCACCCCTCACACATATGTGATTCTGGGCAGTTCACAGTGACTAAAAACAAGAATAAAAATATAAATAAAAACAAGCATACAACTACATTAGATCACAATTAAAAACTAAAAATGTAATCCCAGTCAGCAAACAATACGTCCCATTCAGTATAACCACTGAAAATGCTCATGACTATCCTTGGACAACCCCCCCACAAATCCTGATGATGTAGTCATGTCATTAGGCTCTTCTTAAAGGCCAGGGCCCCATCTAGGTTCAAGGACAATAGAAAGGACAGGTGCCAGAGCAGGAAAAGTTTTCTACCTGGGTCCACATGATGACATTTCTTAGTACAGGGGACCAGGAATATGCCTCTCTTGCCAGATCTGAATCCCATAAGTCACTGACCAAAGACCAGTAGTATATGAAGTGGGTTAACTGTAGACCCTTGATTCTTATACAAGACATAGCAATTTGGTAAACGAACAGCCTTGAAAGACATCATAATCAATAGACTATTGTAATCTCTTTCTTTGCACACATTATGAAAAGGCCCAATTCTCTGGAGAAGGCTCTAGTCCTGGAGAAAAAATGGGCAGGAAAGAGAAGAGGATGATCAACAGCATGGTGGATTAACTCAGTTATAGTTGCAATGGGTGTACTTTTGGAAAACCCAAAATACCAGGTTAGAGACAAATCATCATGGAGAAAATATATTGATGTGATTATTAACTCCATGACAATAATTTGATGGTGCATAATCAATCAAAAATAAAAATCTCTTTCTCCATTTCCCTGTGAAAACTACTCTTGGTTTCCATCCAGAAGTAGCCCAAATCCAGATCGAAAAGGGGCTTTGTAATTATTATCATCCAAAAACCCACAAGAATTCAATCACCAAAACTGCTAACACCCTGTCTTCCTCAAACGAATACACACACATACCTACCTACCTCCATCACTGTCATAGCTGCTTTGGTATGAGACATTAAATTGTTGAGACGATTTCTCTGTTTTGAGTACACAAAATCATTAATATTTAAACCATAGCTGATTAAAAGCTTACTTGTTATTCTATAATGTGTTTTCAGAATGAATATGAACATTATAAATACAGACTATAATAATTAAATTACGTATTTCATATGAGACTTTATTATTCACTTTTAAAAACAGCTTCCTTCAACTCGACAACAGAATTAATATGGATTAAAAATATCCAACAAAGTAAGTAGGGGTTCATATTTCAAGTGCTTATTAGACTTTTCATGAGAATCTAGATTTGCCTTCCTGAGTAAGCATGGTTTCTTCAAAAGTTAGTAAGTCAAAGGCTGAGATCACTCCACATACTAACCCAAAATGGAATAAAATGTAACTTATAATGTGTGACACTGTTCTATTTTCTCTCCAATTACTCTATAGCTTTGAATTCCCTCAACTATAAATATTTATAAAAGACTGAACAGTATTTTTAAAAAGTGCAAGCAGCTTTTTAATGTTCCATGGTTTATATTTGATAATAGCACATTGTTCTCTAAAAATATACTTAAATGCTATGATGAAAATAATATGCAATCTATTGAATGCACTTAAACCTAAATACATAAAGTAAAGAAATGAATATAAATATAAAAGGAAAATGGATTTGGGTGTCTATGAAAAATTGAATTAGCAAAGATACTTCCATAAGGATATAGACTGCCTATCATAATGCAAGAGATACAGGCAGTCCTCAATTTATGACAATTGAGACCAGAATTTCCACTGCTAAGCAAGGTGGTTGTTAAGTGAACTGCATTCAATTTTATGACTTTTTTGCCATGGTGAATCACTGCAGCTGTTAATGGAATCATGTGGTCATTAAGTGAATCTGTCTTTCCCCCATTCACTTTGTTGGAAGCTAGCAGGGGAGGCCACAAATGGCCATAACAGGACTCCAGGACAGGGCAACTGTGCTAAATACACGCTGGTCACCAAGAACCCAAATTTTGATCAGATGGCTGTAGGGATGCTATGATGGACTTAAATGTGTGGACTTTTTTCAACTTTGAATGGCCAGTAAACAAATGGTTATAAGTTAAGGATTCCTTGTAGTGCCAAAGGATATAACATATTGTTTTAGTAGTTACATCTAAGCATATTCAGTGGCAACCTAGATAAGGAATGTTAAGGCAGTTATGAATGATGATCTCAATTCAAATCCCATTAGGATGCTGGTCATAAACTGAAGAGGCATGGGAATGGTTCTCATAAATATCTCATGCATTACTTTTTGTGTTTTTAAAAAGGCAGAGCTTCAATCAAGAGAGCAGAAGTGGAGCTCTGAAAATTCTAATTGATTTGGGAACAGTGTTGTTAGCCTTACACTGTACACATCGAATCATCTTAGTGCACAAGGTTAAATTTCATGACTTATTTATTCCACGTGGAGGATGAATGCAAGGTTATGAAATGTATTTTACTTGAGAGATGCATCAACGTTTGGAATATACATGAAAGGTCATGTATAACTACTGAGTACATTCAGAAGGTAGAAATGCAGCACGTTTTGTAAAATATCAGTATCCACAGCATATTCCATGAGAATGAGACCATTTGAAACATGGCTGTGGTTTAATCTCAGTCACCAGAGATGAAATCCAAGACTCTTGAGCAGCCTGCAAACTATGGAAGAAAAAGCAAACTCTTCTAAATCCTTTATGTGCCAACATGTCTTGCTTACTAAAATGGTTTATGCTATTCTTAATGTGATACTACTAATTAAAAACATTTTCAATCATTTAAACTTTACTCATGCAAGGTAAAAAAATATTTTGAAAGAAAAATTGAACAAGGATCAAGAATATTCCTCAGTGAAATACAATATTTTTGCCAATTGTGCTTGCCAACTAAAATAAAGTGAATTCTGTGAGTTGAACTCAATTCCTGGTGAGTTCAGGAATACTCCCTTGTAGGTTTATTAGTAAGAACATTTAAATGCTTTGCTGTTGTCTTCTTCCAAGGTTTTCCCCCCTACTTTCCAGTCTAGTCCACAACTCAGGTAGTCTCCCATTCAAAAGTAAGAGCCTTTCTTTTTATTATTCCACAGAGTGTGTCCATCATTATTTATTGCCCATAAACTCTTCTTTAGCCAATTGAATCAGTGAGGATCTTCCTCATGGAGTCTGCTCAAGCATTTTTCATGTAGCTGGAGAAAGAAGTTTAAATATGTAGTAATGGGACATGATTTGAGGAGTGAGCTAACTGGATGCTCAGTAAGCTCAATGAAATTATTTTGAGAGACTATGCTAATAGTTTCTGAATTTTACCACAAAGCTTCTCAAATTGTATTGCCACCATAGTTTATTTGTTATTTCCACAAAGGAATAAAATTTATTCTTGCATGTCAAAAGAATAGTGGCTTTTATCCCACACTCAATGGACATTGTGTCACACATTATAAGTTACATTTTATTCCATTTTGGGTTAGTATGTGGAGTGATCTCAGCCTTTGACTTATTAACTTTTGAAGAAACCATGCTGATGTTGCCGCACTCCTTGTTGAGTGGGCTGTAATGCCCTTAGGAACTGAGATGGACTGGCATTCGTAACTTTTAGCTATGGTGGCTCTCAACCATCTACCAATGGACGTTGACGACAGCTTGTATCCTAAAGTGGATGGGTTGAAGGATAGGAATAGATCCTCAGATTTTCAAAATGCCGCTGTGCAGTCTAGATAGATGCTTAACGCCCTTCGAACGTCAAGTCGATGCCATTGATGCTCCAGTCTATGAGATGGTTTCGGACAAAAATTTGGAAG